CTCCTGCCACCCTGCTCCTGAGAACATTCAGAGTTCTTTCAGGAAGAGGTGGAGAGGATCCAGGATGACAGAGGGCCAAGGAGAAGGAAGGTCAGCACTGGGAGGACAGTTGGACGGACCCTGAGCCACCATCCGGTGCCCGGGCTGTGATGCCGTGGGAACTCACCCCAAATAAGAGCTCCTGATGGATGGACCCACCTTCCTTGGTTTCCCTCCCTCCCTCCTCCATTCCTCTTTCCTTCCCCCCTTCCTCTCTCATTCAGCAGAGGATCTGGGTCCCTGCTCTGTACTGAGCACTGGGACGACATCCATGAGCGCCCCCGGCCCACGTGGTCCCTGCCCAAACGGCACTCAGGTCTACTGTGAGAGGTGACAGGGGGCAGTCCTCAGGGCTAACAGAGGTGAGGAGCACCAGCAATCTGCTCCTGAAAACAGAGGCCAGTTGCACAAAGAAAAGAATGGAGACACCCACGCTCAGCACATCCTCTAGAAAAATCTAGTCCTGAAAAGTAAGTATATGCTAGACTTAACGCAACGTGAGTTCTAATGGCCCATACGCACTGATTCCTGGAAGCAAGGAAGAGTAAATCATACCATGTCGCTGGGGGGTTGTGACGCCACTTTTCTGACCCAATGACAGCATTTCAGCCAACACCTCCGGGGCCTCGGAGCTTTCCCAAGGGTCTCTGTGATCCTCTGACCCTTACTTCGTCCTCCTCGGGCAGCTCTGTCCTGTTGTCTTCCTTGTCTCCTGCCTCTTCTGGGGCCCTTCAGGGGCCTCCCCAACCACAGCATCCTCGGGAGGACGCCCCGTGCCCCATGGCTGGGCGCCCCCATCTAGCGCTGGGCCCTGTAAGCCCGGTGCTTTGTGCAAGTCCTGTGCCCTCCCTCTGGGGTCACTTGGCATCTCCCTTGCAGGGGCCTACATCTTCCTGCACTGGGTCTCCTCTGAACAGTCTGTGAGGCCGGCCTGTATCCATGTCACGGGCGCAGAAGCGCGAGTCCAGAAGGTCCAGACGACCTGCTCCCAGTCCCAGCGTGTGGAGCCTGGGCCGAGGGTGGTCCCCGAGCAGAGGAGGACTTGGGCCCAGGAAGACTGAGGGAGGATGTAGCACAGTGAGCCCCCAGGGGGAGAGTAAGCACCGTGGGGGCCTGGCGCTCAGGCCTGCTGGGCGACCCTGTCCCACCGGCAAGGGCTCTGTCCCCAGACCTGGTAAGATGTAAGAGGGTCTTCCTGGGCCCCGGGAGTAGCTGGGGTGAACAAGGCTCAATGCTACCCCAACAAGTAGGAGGAAAGTATGGTAACTCCTTTTGGGGGGAGGGGGTAAGCTCAGAGAGATTTCGGAGGCGCTGAGCTAAACCGCAAGGTGAGTGCAATGTTCAGCTGGTTTTTCCTTCCTGTGATTGTTTCCACGTTCTTCCAAAAACATGAAAGTTTTTCTGATTTCTCAGGCCCTCACCCTCGCCCTGAGTTCCCGGAGCGGCTCATCCCGCTACCGGGCTGGGCCCGCTGCGTGAGAGGCTGCCGCCCAGACGGCCAGGAGAGAGCGGCGCCCAGGGGACCCCGCGCGCTGGGACCCCGGGGCCTGGTGCTTTGGCCCGCGGGCGGGGCGTGAGCGGCAGGTGGGCAGGGGCTGGGACCCGCGGGTGGGGGGGGCGGGGGAGGGAGCGCGCTGGCGCGGGGGGGGGGGGGCGGGGGAGGGAGCGCGCTGGCGGGTGGGCGGGGCGTGCGGCTCCTTTCTGCCCGGCCGCCGGCCCTGCCCCAGGGTCAGCCCCCGGCGCCGCTGCGGGCGTGGCCACCGGGTATCGCCCGGGCCCTGGAGAGCTGAGTCCCTGGTTTCTGGCCTGGGGTGCGCCCCTCCGTCCGTCCTAAACCCTGTCCGGTCGCAAGGGGTGAGTCTACAGCCCGCGGGGACAGTCGCGCTCCCCACGTCCCGCGTCGCGGCGCAGTGGCGGGCGGAAGTTGGGTGCGCGTCTGGGCACCAGGCCACCGGGTGCGGACCGCTTTGGCGGGGGAGGACACGGAGGCTGGGGTGGAGGGGGAGGAGAGTGACTTGATCAAGGTTACCGAGCCAGGGAGAGCTGAAACGCGTTCCCGCCGTCCCCTGGAGAGCCCAGGCTCGGCCTCCAGGAGGAAGACATGGCTGCCATCCCAACCCCCCACCCCTACCCCACCGCAAGGGCATCAGGCGGCCCCTCTCGGCGCAGCCCCCGCCCAGGCCGGGTGTGTCCCCGCTGGGCCGGCCCTGGGCTCGATTTCTGGTGTCCCCGCTGTTACCCCCGGGAATCTTTCTCCAAGCCCCGCCCAAGCGCCCCGCCCTGCGCTGCTCCTGAGTCCCTGGGCAGGACGCCCTGGGCTCCCCGCGGAGGGCGGGGGTTGGGAGGAAGACAGCCCAGGCAGGGGGGGACGGTCCGCCTCTCCGGAGTCACAGCTGCAGGATTCGGCTGAGCACTGAGCCACTGTCCCCCTGTCCACCTACCGGAGCTGTCATAGCTGGGGCCACCCAGGGGAAGGCAGGGCAGCAAGGATGGGGCCAGTATCCCCTGGATATCGGGAACATTCCTTTGCAGATGTTCCTCGGATCCTGAAGACACAGGCTCAGAGCTTGACAGCCCTGGGAGAGGTGGACTGACTCACCAAGCCCACTCAGTCTCTCCAAGTGCCCAGGTTCAAAGGCTTCACCCAGCAATGCGCTGCCGCAGACTGGCCCTGGGCCTAGGATTCTGCCTGCTGTTGGGCATTGCCCTCTTTTTTCTGCGGTGAGCATACCCCCATGGAGCCCTCCCTTCACCCCAGGCTTCTCCCTTTCTTGGCATCTCAACCCCCAAAGCTTGATCCCTTTATGGATCCCTAGGTCCCACCCACCTCTCTTGGCACACCGGTCCCTCAACCCCCACCCCCCACCCCAGTAAGACCAAACTAGTTTTGGTTTCTGGATTTTGATTAGTAATGGCCTCCGGGCCTTTGCTCTTGCTCTTTCCTCTGCCTGGACTGCTCTTCTAGCCTTGTTAATGAAGAACTCCCGTTCAAACACAATTCACCCCATCTGTTCTTTCTGTGAAGTCCTCCCACCACCACCACCACCCCTCACCACCACTCCCCCATGCGTAGGGCCTGGCATCAAAAACATTCCTGCCCCGGGAATGAAGGACCGCATGGGTGAATAATGGCCACATTGCAGAAGACCAGGAGGATTTGACCTCTGAGGTCAGCCAGACCCAAGGAGTGGTAGGGGATCCCCAGATGCACCCCGCTGGGGGCCTTCACTCCCATCAACGTGCACTAGGTGGGTTTTCAGCTTCATGACAGTGAACAGGTGTTTTTCCTTCCCAGGATGTATGTGGAGAACTGGCTGCCCTTCTCCTATGTCCCCTATTACCTCCCCTGCCCAGAGATCTTGTAAGTACGGGGCGGGGAGAATTTGGGCCCTGTGGGCTGCCTGGAGTGGGGGCACTGGGTGAGTTTTAGGGTCACTTTGCAGGTTATTAGGTCCTAAGCTCATGATTCTGATCAGTTTGGTAAGTGTCAGGTAATTTATGGGCTGTGGAGTAAAATGTCCATGTCAGTCCTCTGGCGTCCCTGCAGCGCCCCCTCTGTGCTTTGACCTTGAGCATGCCGCAGGGCTCTGAGCCTCACTTTCTTCATCTGTAAAATGGGATGATGGAAGTCCCCTCCTGGGCCACCTGGAGCATGGAGTGTGATGACACCTGTAAATAGTCATCTGTACCACACACCACACAGCAGGTGCTCAGGAAATAGTGCTCTTAAGACTGGACTTTTTGCTAAATTTTGTGTTCAGTGTGGATTCAAGGAACAAATTAACATGGGACCAGACTTCCCCCCCCTTAACGAACCTGACTTTTTGACAGTTAAGAGTGAAAAAATGGGCTGGGACAGTCTTAAGTGGGGGGGGGGTATCCTCGTGATAGCTAGAGGCAAGTTTAAAATCTGGTTCATAGACTGCTATATTAACCACAAGGCATGTTTCACTGTTATAAACACAGAATATAGTCAGTTAGGAAGCTGGAAAGCAGTAAAGACAAAAGAAAAAATACCCTCTTGTGTCCTACTGGTTTGAGTTATACTTTGCTTCCAAAGTTCATGGTCAACTTGTTGGTTGCTGCCCTTTCTAGTTGAACCGACTGTGCATCTTACTTGGTTCTAAAAGCAGAAAGGCTGCTTGCTATTGAAAATAGTTGTGATCGGGGCGCCTGGGTAGCCCAGTCGGTTAAGTGGCTGCCCTCGGATCAGGTCATGATCCTGGGGTCCTGGGATCGAGCCCCACCTCTGGCTCCCTGCTCGGCGGAAAGCCTGCTTCTCCCTCTCCCTCTGCCTGCCACTCTGCCTACTTGTGCTCTCTCTCTCTGTCAAATAAATAAATAAAATCTTAAAAAAAAAAAAAGAAAATAGTTGTGATCATAATGTTTTTGCAGTTTTTATCCTGTGATCCCAGAACTGGCTATGTTCTTCAGCGTGTGTTCATGCTCTTCGCGGTCATCACCCTTTAATTGCCCCCAGGAACTGGGTCATAATTCTTGAACTCCTCCCCCTTTCCCACAAAGGACTGGGGGGGGGGGTTTCGGTTGTTTTCAATTCCCCAGGATTCTTTTTTTTTTTTTAAAGATTTTATTTAGGGCGCCTGGGTGGCTCAGTTGGTTAAGCGACTGCCTTCGGCTCAGGTCATGGTCCTGGAGTCCCTGGATCGAGTCCTGCATCGGGCTCCCTGTTCGGCAGGGAGTCTGCTTCTCCCTCTGACCCTCCCTCCTCTCATGTGCTCTCTCTCTCTCATTCTCTCTCTCAAATAAATAAAGATTTTATTTATTTATTTGAGAGAGAGCAAGCATGAGCAAGGGAAGGAGCAGAGGGAGAAGCAGGCGCCCCACTGAGCAGGGAGCCCAACATGGGGCTCGATCCCAGGACCCTGAGATCATGACCCAAGCAGAAGGCAGATGCTTCACCGACTGAGCCACCCAGGTGTCCCCTCCAATTCCCCAGGATTCTAAATGAGTTTGTAATGAGCAGCTCTAGATATAAAGCTTTTTTTCCATATTAAAAATCCTTTCATTTGTTAGTTCCCTCCCTAGGCCAGGCTCCCATTCTCTTGTTCACACGGACTCCACTCCCTGGCCAGGACTAGAGGAAGCACTGGGTGTTGTGAAAAGCAAGAACCAAACCACCTTGCTGATTTGAGCGGCAGGGGATGCTATCTCCTAAGTTTTGATTTCATTTCCTTGATTTCTACCGAGGCTGTCCTTTCTCCCACCCCCTTCCCATGAACTGAATTTCCTCTTCCCTGATGCACCTGCACATTGCCTTCTCTCCCTGGCCTGTTTGTGGGGGCTCTGGCACCACTTTGGGCCCAAAGTATTTGCTACATTTTTTTTTCTTTCCAGTTCCACTTAGCTCTTTTTTTAAATAGATTGAAGTTGGAGAATTTTTGTGTGTGTTAAATGGTCACATCTTCCTGTCTTTTCATCTGGATTTCTTCACTTTTAGTTTTCCTACCTACGGGTGTGAAAATGTGAAGTTTTGTTTTGTTTCGGGTTTTTTTGTTTTTTTTGGCTCTGGCTCATCTGTGGCTCCGGCGTTCTTATGACTGAACGAGTGCTTTAATAAGGCTGGAGCGTGGTTGGGCTTGGGGAGGAGCCAACTGCCAGGGTTGTGGGCCCTCTTCCTCACTTCCTGCCTTTGCAGAGTGCCCTCACTTTCCGAGTGGGACCTGAGTGCTTGTTTGGGTGGAAACTAGGGCAGACAACCAGTGTGACAGACTGACTTTTAAAAATTGTTGATTCAAGAGTTTAAACTAATCACAGAAAGATAAACACATATTACAGGATTCCACTTACATGAGCTCTCTAGAATAACCAAATTCATTGAAACAGAAGTAGAATAATGGTTACCAGGGGCCGGGGGAGGGCGGGGCGGTCAGCCTTTCATGGGGACGGAGTTTCAGTTTGGGAAGATGAGAAGGTTCTGGAGAGGGATGGTGGGGACGGCTGCACAACAGTGTGAACGTGCTTCAGGGCCCTGAACTGTGCACTTAAAAATGGTTAAAATAGGGGTGCCTGGTTGATCGTCTGACTCTTGGTTTCAGCTCCGGTCATGATCTCAAGGGTCATGAGATCGAGCCCCACGTCAGGCCCCACATTCAGCAGGGAATCTGCTTGAGATTCTCCCTCTCTCTCCCTCTACCCCCACCCTCTCTTTCTCTTCCTCTAAAATAAATATCTTTTTTGAAAAATGGTTAAAATAGTAAAGCTTTGTTTTGTACATTTTACCACCAAGAAAGAGAGAGAGAGAGAGAGAGAAGCATAGACTAAAAATTGGTAGGAAAACTTAAGAAGGCTTAAGCTATCCCATCAAAGATGCCATATTGAAAATTCCTTAGTGAATGGCAAGTGCGGTGTGCTCAGGTGGTCTGGCCTAACAGCCGACCTCAGGCCTCTTCTGCAGCTGCTGCACGCGCTGGGTGGCCTCGGGCAGCCTCTGCCTTCTCTGGGCCTCACTTCCACCCTCTGGGGAAGGACATCATTGGGAGGACTTTCAAGCCTGAGGAGTCAAATGTCTGGCCCCAGGTCCTTCCAGCCCGCTGGTGGCCGAACCAGAGGCTCTATGCAAACCTGCAGGGCCCTCCTTCTTGCTTCACCCAAGCTGCCCTCGGCTGAAGCTAGTAGAGGCTGGCCACACAGGCTGCCTGCCAAGAAACGGACAAGATGGTCTTAATGAGCGTTTGCTCTGTGCTGGACATGGACGCATACCTTGATTCCCAGGGCAGCTCTGAGGGTGAGGGATGGTTACCCATTTTACAGATGAGGAAGTGTGGGGGCATGAGTCAGGATTCCATGATAGACAGAGAACAGAGGAGGGAAGGAGAAAGGTAGATTGATGGAGCTGAGCCAGTCTGGAATCCGGGGAGCAGGCCCCAGGAAGGGCAGGCTGGAGCTCAGGCCGGCGCTGACACTGGCAGAATGTCTTCACAGAAACCTCAGTTCTGCTCTTCAAGCCTTTTTCCACCAGATTCTATCAAGCCCACCCAGGCCCGGCAGGATCATCTCTACCTAAGGGCAGCTGGTGTAGGTGTTAATTACATCCACCAAATACCATGGAAGCAACACCTTGATTGCTGTTTGTGTAACTGGGTCCTGCAAGTGACCATCACCGTGGGCTCAGGTGACTCACCTCAGGTCCCCAGGCGAGAAGGCGGCAGAACTGGGATCACCAGGTCTTTGCAGCTTCTCAAAACTTCTACCCATTGCCAGGCCCCTCCAGAGTGACATGCTTGAAAGAGCATCAGCTTTGGGAGACAGGTGACACTGGGTACCGATTGCCGCCCTGCCACTCAGTGACCCCGGACAGACTGCTTCTGCAGGAGCCCAGCCCCTGCAGGGTGGGCAGAGCAGTGGGGAAGGTTCCAGGGAGTCTGCCTGGAACCTCTGGCATGGTACCTGCCCCATGGGGGTGTTTGCTTCTTCTCCACTCTGTCCTTCCTGCTCTGAGTAGCTCTGTCCCCTGCCCTGGCACTAACACCTTTCTCTCGCCTCTGCCACCAGCAACATGAAACTGCAGTATAAGGGGGAGAAGCCGTTCCAGCCGGTGACACGGTAAGCAGACTGCCATCTCCCCCTTTATGGCCCCAGGGGCTGGGGGCTGCCTCCCCTCACCACTGCCCTTCTTGGTTACAGGTCACTGTACCCTCAGCCCAAGCTGCTGGAGCAGAGGTAGGTGTTGGGTGGGGTCTGGGTGCAGAATGGAGAGATTGGCGGGAGGAAGGGGGGCACAGAGTGGGGAGGGCAGGTGCAGAGCTCCGATTTATAAGCCGGGGTGGTGGGGATGTCGGGTGGCCTTGGGGGCCAGCTAGTCTGGGACCTGGGTTCCAGTCCCATTCTGCCACTAGCTGTGTGACTTGGGGCAGGTTACCGAACTGCTCTGAACTATTTCCGTACGGGTGGATAAGAATATCCACTTCATAGCAGGCTGGACGGAGGACTGGATGAGACGGTGTTTGCAGAAGGCACAGCTCCGGGTGCCTGAGTGGCTCAGTTCAGTTGAGAGTCCAACTCTTGATCTCAGAGTCTTGAGTTCAAGCCCCACATTGGGCTCTATGCTGGGCATGGAGCCTACTTAAAAAAGGGGGGGGGGCACAGCTGCATAGTAGGTGCTCAATCCGGGGTTCCTGCTGATATCGCGACCCCTCATGTATTAGGCACTTAGCAGGCACCTGAAGTGCTAGGCTCCCTTACACACTGGATGTACATTCACTCCTGGTCCTCTCGACCATGCCGGGGAGGAGCTATTATTATCCCCACTTCCCATAGGAGGCTACTGAGGCCCAGAGACAGGGATGAAGCTGCCCCAGGTCACACAGCATGGGAGGCAGAGCCAGGATGAGACTGTGGCCTTCCCAAGGGAAGGGCCTCACCCCCCACGGCCTGCCCTGCCGCTAGGCCTACTGAGCTGCTGACGCTTACACCCTGGTTGGCGCCCATCGTCTCCGAGGGAACCTTCGACCCTGAGCTTCTGCAACACATCTACCAGCCACTGAACCTGACCATCGGGGTCACGGTGTTTGCCGTGGGGAAGTGAGTAGTGGGCTGGGTGGGGGGACGTCACTGAGCCATGGGAGCTTACAGTCTGGGAAGGGACAAGACCTGGACATGGGACCCTGCCTGGTTGCCAGGAAAGCCCTGAAACAGGCGCTGTGCATGTGGGAAGGTAGGGAGTAGAGGGTGATGACGGGAGGGCTTCCTGGAGGAGGGGATCTGGCCCTGGAAGGGGAGCGGCAGGAGCCTTTGTGAGGACACCCCCTTGGCCTCCTCACCCCTCTCTGTTCCCCTGGAACAGTGCAGGCAGGCATGAAGGACTGGAAACACTCAAGACCACCTCACATAACTGGGGGTCCATGGTCAGGCCACAGGTAGGTCAAGCCCCGCCCTCAGGACCCTCTCCCCTCTCCCCACTCCGGGCCTGCCTACTCTCTGGATATCTCCTGTTTTCCTCTCCTCTCCCTCACCCCACCTAGCCTTGCCTTGAGAAGGCCTGGCAGCCTCCCCCTACGTCTCTTTCTGGGACTCCCGAGGGAGAAACCACAGTGGAGCCCCAATACTGCAAGTGCTAGCCAGATGATGGGTGGCCCGCCTGGGTCAGGTTCCATCGGCTTTGACCTGGGGGTGGGGTGTGGCCTGCAGTTTCCTCCAGCTGGGCCCCAAGCCCCCAGCACCACTCACCTCACCTTGATGCAGCCACTTAGCCTGCCATGTGGTCACTTTCCTCTCTCTGAGCCTCAGTGTCTTTGCCTCTAAAATGGGGATTATGGGGAGGGCGCGTGGCTGGCTCAGTCAGTGAAGTGTGCGACTCTTGATCTTGGAGTCATGGGTTTGAGCCCCATGTTGGGTGTAGAGATTACTAAAAAAAAATCAATAAACTTTAAAATGGGGATGTGCTGCCTGCCTTTAGGGAGTTTATGAGGCTGGAAGGAGCTAAGAATCCCTTAAAACACTGCCTGGCACCTAGTTAAGTGCTCACTAAAAGTTAGCGAATTTAAGAATCCCTGTTAAGCATCCTTCCTACGAAGGAAGAGGCTGGTACTGTGATTGTGGGGGTCTGACAGAGGAGGACCCCGAGGTTTCAGACCTGAGTGGCATCTCAAAGTGAGGAGCTGGGAGGTGGACCCCAGCCTGGCCGAGCCCAGGCCCCAGGCCCTCTGCGAGGCGCCAGCCCATAGTGGGGGCACGGGCAGTGGGGGGTGGGGCCAGCGAGGTCGATGAGGTCATTCCCCCACCCGCCTCCCCGCCAGGTACACCCGGTTCATCAAGCACTTCCTGGAATCGGCCGAGCGGTTCTTCATGCAGGGTTATCGGGTGCGGTACTATGTCTTCACTAATGACCCTGCGGCCGTTCCTCGGGTCCCGCTGGGCCCGGGCCGCGGCCTCAGCACCATCCCCATCCAGAAGCACTCCTGCTGGGAGGAGATCTCCATGTGCCGGATGGAGACCATCAGCCAGCACATTGCCAAGACTGCGCACCAGGAGGTGGATTACCTCTTCTGCCTCAATGTGGACATGGTGTTCCGGAACCCGTGGGGCCCCGAGACCTTGGGGGACCTGGTGGCTGCCATTCACCCAGGCTACTACACTGTACCCCGCCAGCAGTTCCCCTATGAGCGCAGGCATGTTTCCACCGCCTTCGTGGCAGACGGCGAGGGGGACTTCTATTATGGTGGGGCCGTCTTTGGGGGGCGAGTGGCCAGGGTGTACGAGTTTACCAGGGGCTGCCACATGGCCATCCTGGCGGACAAGGCCAATGGCATCATGGCAGCCTGGCAGGAGGAGAGCCACCTGAACCGCCGCTTCCTCTTGCACAAGCCCTCCAAAGTGCTGTCCCCTGAGTACCTCTGGGATGACAGGAAGCCCCAGCCGCCCAGCCTGAAGCTGATCCGCTTTTCGACGCTGAACAAGGCCACCGGGTGGCTGAGGAGCTGACGGTGGAGCCAGGGCTGCGGTGGATGGGGAGCCCCAGCCCTGCAGCCAGCTCGCCCCAGTGCCTCCCTTCTCGGGCCTCAGGTGAGACCAGTCTGGCCCTGCCTTAGTCTGTTAGCAGAATTCAACCGGAAAGTGGAGGCCGAAAAGCCTTTGTAAACTGTAAAGTGCTGCACCCACATGAGGAGAACACAAAGATCACACAGCCCTAGAACAGTCAGCCAGGAAGAGGGGAGGCAGAGGTGAAGCAGACAGGGCCTGGCAGGCTCTACCCAGCAGACGTGCCTTCGGGGCAGGCTCTGGAGTCAGCCCTCCTCCACACCTGAGACCCCACCTCTGCCCCCCCTTCCGTTGCCTGTTGCCCTTAAAGTTGTACTTCGAAGCCCCTGGTGTGAAAGGCAGCCCAGACCCCTCTTCTCTGGCTGCCGGGGGTCCTGGGTACTCTGATGTCCCCCAGCCATACAGAGCCAACCCCCTGCTCGGCCCTGGAGGGAACCTTGGCAGTGGAACAGGCCTGGCCTCGTGTCAAGCCTAGCCTGTACCCCACGGTGGGCCACAGTCCCTGCCACCAGCCACCTCCTTTGTAAGAGGGCTTGGGCAGCTTTTAACAAAGGTGGCGTGGGGGGCGTCTGTGTGGCTCAGTCGGTTGAGCGGCCGACTCTTGGTTTTGGCTCAGGTCATGATCTCAGGGTCCTGAGACAGAGCCTCTGCCCTTGGGCTCCACGCTCAGCAGGGAGTCTGCTCAAGATTCTCTCTCCCTCTGCCCCTCCCCCCAGTCATGCGCGCACACGCACACATGCACGCTCTAAAATAAATAAATCTTTAAAAAAAAAAAAAAGCTGGCATGTGCTAAGCCCTAACCAGGGTGTTTTCACCTGCACATCTGAGGGTCTGTCCGGCCAGTCACTGGGGATCCAGGCAGCCTGGATTTCAAATACAGTCAGCTTGTGCGGGTGGAGGAGGGAGGGTCCGGTTGTCCAGAAAATCTGGACTAAAGCTGACCGCCGCAACAAACAGGATTTGGTTCCCATCCTCCTAGGAGAGGGGCGAAGTGAGCACGTGCTGTCAGGCGTGCCATACTCTCAACAATCAAGGGAAGCACAGCCCATCAGCTGGCCACTGGGTGGCCTCTCGGGCCCTGAGCCCGTAACACAGGTGTCTGCTGGTGCTCCTGAAACCAGGGTCAGCCTCGGCCCTATGAGGCCACTGGTGGGCGTACGGCGCCGAGGCTGTGGCGCAGGCCCAGGATCAGAGGGCCTGGGAGGGCAGCATCAGTGCGGTGGCCCCAGAGGGACTTCAGAGCACCCCCCCCGACATCCCGTGGTTGTGTCTGCCTGGCAGGACAGAGATGGGGTGCATTCAGGGTTTGGTGGCCCAGTGTTCAGTCCTCTGGGGGCAGCAGCTCCTTTGCCACGGAGGGTGCAGAGGGGTACTCTCTGGCCACATTGGGAGGAATAGGCACCTACCCACTAGGCCACCCCTGGCAAAGCCGGGGGTCAGCCCAAAGCCCACTCCTCCTGTAGCCTGTGGTCTGGCCAGCGAGCAAGGACAGACTGCCAGAGTCTGAGCAGAGGGAGTGAGCAGAGGAGAGGGTTTGGGCTGGGGAGGACGGGTCAGGGAGAGGTGCTGGGGTGCTTCCGGGCAGAGGGGCAAGGGTGGGCCCACAGCCTATATGTCCCAGTGGGGAGCACCTTCCCAGAGCATCAGGATCTGCCCTGTGATGCCAGTTGTGTTGAAGAAGCAGAACTTGCCTTCAAGGAGCTTCTACCTTGGGGCAGAGACAGGCCCCCTGGTGTGGAGACCAGAGAAGGCCTCCCGGGGGAGGTGGCCCCAAGGCCCAGGCAGCAGCAGCAGGCTTGCAGGGGAGAAAGGAACCCCTGCCTCACTCCCAGCCCAGCCTCTCCTGGACCCAGCTGATTTCCCTTCTCAGCCTTGGCCCAAATCCCCAAGGAATATGGCTGACCCTGGTCCACATCGCAGGACACAGCCCTCAGACACGAGTTGAGGGAGTGACAGGACCCAATTCCTGGAACCAAACCAAGGTCCAAGCTACTTTCCAAAACAGAGCTGAGGGCTTGGAGCCAGAGGTGCTGCATGGATGGGGAGGGGTAAGGAGCCTGGTGGGGGTTGGGAGGGGTGGAGGGGGCCAGGGTCTGACCAGCAGATGGATGGGGGAAGGCCCAGAGACAGTCCCAGCAGCTCTGGGCCCCTGTCTGACGGGATCAGATCTGAGCCACAGGCACCACTGTTGACAGGGCCCATCAGTTTTGGGGGCTTTGAGGTTTTCTAAATTGCAAAGGTACTTCTTTAAGAAATAGACAAAATCACAAATACAAAATGTCTGCGGTGGAGGCCCCTGACACTTAAGCTTCCTCTCCCTTGCCAACTGCCTCCTCCCCACACGTGACAGTCCCACATCATCGCTCGGCAACAGGGCCTGGCCCGCACACCTCTACTCACACTGCCCACCAGTCAGGTCTGTTTGTCCTATCACCCAGCCGATTTCTGGGGACTTGCGCCTGACGTCACCTCCAGGAAGCCTGCCTTGATTTGTATCCCGCTCCAAAGTGGGTGCCTTTCAGTGTTCCCACCAACACTCCTCATCCCTGTGCCATTTACAATGTCTGCCCATCGCCATCCCTTGCCCAGTTGGTAAACTCCAAGACGGGACAGACCGTGGCTGGCCCGGGTTCCCCCTGTACCTGAAACCCAGGAGGCCCTCTGTAAATGTTGAACAACTACATGAGGGGTGACAGCTGAGAGAACATGGGGTTAAGAGTCTGTCCTAGCACCTGTGGGATGTTGGACAGTTCATCCGAGGCCCTGGGGTGAGGATCAAACAAGATTATGGCTGGAACTCCTCTTGGGCAGCTACTTTGGGACGTGGCTAGGTCTGGAACCTCCAAGCAGCCTGCCCCACCCCAGAAGGAAGTAGATGACCTCCATAGCCCCCATTACACAGGAGTAAACAGACAGCCTGCTCATTCCTAGTTGGTTTTGGGGTTCCATGCTTGAGCGGGGGCAATAACATGCCCACCAAGCTCCTTCTAAATCTAGGATACTGTGGCTCTGGTAAGACTGCCCCAATTGTGTCCCCCAGGCCCCCCAGCCCACAGTGTCCCCAACTCATTGCCCAACATCCAGAGAGCCCTGCATGATCTGGTCTAGACATGCTCCCCAGTGTCTCCAGCCTCCCTAGGGCCTTCCTCCCCCAGGGAGCCCACCAAGCCTTTGCCCCCCTCAGAGCCCCCTGCAGCCACTGCCCTTCACATGGCCCCCATCCAGGACGGCCTCCCCTCCAAGCCTGGGTTCAGAGACTACTTCCTTGGGCTCCTCTGGTAAGCTTAGGCTTTGGGTCAGATTGAGCTGGGTTCAAACCCACAGCAGGGCCATGTCACAGCCCTGTGACAGGCAAGCTCGTGTGGTGGCTGCTAAGAGCCTCAATGGAAATGGGGTCTGTGGCCCCGACTTCAGCAGGTTGAGCTGGGGGCACAGGGGGCTGCCTGGCTGGGGGAGTCCCAACCCAGGATAAGGCCTGTGATGGTCAGTGCGGGGCTCAGTGAAGGTGAAGAGAAATGACCCCGAGTCCCCCGTTCATGTTCACAGCTGGACTTGGCCACTCAGAGCTGAGTAACCTTGATCTTTGAGATCACTTCTTGTGTATAAAAAGGGGTGAAATCACGGAGCACCCAGGAGGGTTCTGTGCAACACTACACCCAATGCTCGGGCACCCTGGTGGGGGGCTCCCTCCTTCCTGGGCTCCTTCCCACCCCTCTGACTCCAACCAGGGCTGCAGCCAGGGACAGGCTGGACCTCATGTCCAGGCTCCTGCCAGGAGGACTAGGAGAAGGGGTGTAGAGGAGGAGTAAGGGGCAGACTGACCTCCTTGCCTGTACTCGGTGTCCACGGCGGCCTCCAGGTCCTCTGGCCCAGCCGTGCACCCAGCTGGCCCCTGCAGGTTACATGTGGGGACCAGGACAGAAGGACAGCGCTGTATAATCCGCGACTCCCGTGTCTCCAGGTCTCCAAAGCCAACCCGGCCCAGCGCCCGATGGCCCTCTCGCCAGCCTGAGTTTGGGGCGAAACGAGGTCCCAGCGGGCGCGCGAGGCAGAGAGCAGGCAGCGGGGCAGGAGACGCGTGGGACCCGCGGCGCGCTGGGCCCTCGGTGCGCTGCGGGGAGGCGCGGCTCCTGTGCACGCGCTGTCCGCGGGCCCCCACAGACCCGCGTGCCCGCAACCGTGGACACGAAGCCCGGCGGCCCCGGCAGGGCCCACCCACCCACCGCCGCCCGCGGGAGGGAGGCCGGCGCGCGCGACACACGGCCTCGAGCGCGCCCCCGAGCTCGCGCCGCGGCGCCGGCCCCTCACACCTGCGGCGGGCGGGGCGGGGCGGGGCGGGGTGGGGCCGCGGCTGTCCCCGCCCACCCGGCCGGAGCCCGGGAGCCCGGGCGGAACCGAGCAGCGGGGCTCGAGCGGCCAGCGGCGCAGCGCGGCGCAGACAATGGGAGCGGCGCGGGCGGCGGCGGCGGCGGCGGCGGTGCGGGCGGCGGCGGTTGCGGAGCTCCGGGCCCGGCGGGGACGGGAGGCCGCGCCATGAGCCCCGCAGCCGGGCGCCCCCCTGCGCCGCGCGCCGGCCGAGGCGAGCGGCCTCTGCGAGCCCCGGGCCCCGCCCTGGGGCCGGCGATGCGCTGCCAGGGCTGAGGATGATGGTAGATTGCCAGGTGAGTGCCCCGGCCCGGCCCTGGCCGCCCTCCCAGCCGGGGGAGGGGGGGGTTGGATGGAGGACCACATGTCCCTGGCCCACACCCCATCCGGCGAGGAGGGAGCACGGCGCCCGGTCCACGCTGAGCGCGCGCTTACGCAGTTCCGCGTCCAACCCCTCCTGGTACAACTGGGAAACTGAGACCAGGAGAGGCGGGGACTGGCCCGGGGCGCATGAGGTGAACGGAGTCCAGAGGAGAAGGGAAGGTTCTGGCCTCTCAGGCCAGGGCTCAACTCTCCCA